GCACTGCCACCTGTGCCACCGGTGACCGCAGTGACACCCACAGGGAGTGGCACTGCCACCTGTGCCACCAGTGACCGCAGTGACACCCACAGGGAGCGGCACTGCCACCTGTGCCACCACTGACCGAGGTGACACCCACAGGGAATGGCACTGCCACCTGTGCCACCACTGACTGCAGTGACACCCATAGGGAATGGCACTGCCACCTGTGCCACCAGTGACCGCAGTGACACCCACAGGGAGTGGCACTGCCACCTGTGCCACCAGTGACCGAGGTGACGCCCACAGGGAATGGCACTGCCACCTGTGCCACCAGTGACCGCGGTGACACCCACAGGGAATGGCACTGCCACCTGTGCCACCACTGACCGAGGTGACACCCACAGGGAGTGGCACTGCCACCTGTGCCACCAGTGACCGCGGTGACACCCACCTGGGAATGGCACTGCCACCTGTGCCACTGGTGACCGAGGTGACACCCACAGGGACAGGAGCAGGCAGCAGGACACACAGAGTGTCCCCAACAGTGCCAAAGCCAGAAACTCCATCTACCCTGAACACATTCTGCTCCCCAAAGGAAAAACCCAAAACCCAGCAAAAACCCAAGGAAACAAGGAACAGAAATCAATTTGAAGGTGTTATTTTAGACAAATACCATCTGTTGGCAGAATATTCCTGAGCAACAAACAGCACTGGAGAGGTGCTTGGATGCAATTCCAATTTGAATATTTCATCAGAAAAAGGCAGGTACAGCCAGGTCTCTTGCCAGCAGGTTAGACAGTTAATTACTCTCTTCACCAACTCACTATTCATAACATTTATTTCCAAACTCCCTAACAGAGATGTTTATGGCATGTAAATTGATTAGCCTGAGCCCAAACAGATTCAGGAGGTGTTGAAGTGAGCAGGTTTCACATAAATTGCACAGAGGATTACAGAGTTACTCAATGTGCTTCTGTTTGTGGGGAAAAAAGGATTGGAGGGTGGAATTTCCATCCTGTGTCAGTGTTCCTGATTCCAAGCAGGGCTTTATCTCACACTCTGCTCCTCATGGCAAAGAGCAGCTCCCAGCTGCCTGCACAGGGAACAGGGAGTTATCCAGGGGCAGGGAATTATCCAGGGGCAGGGAATTAATTATCCAGGGGCCCACACCACATCCTTAGGGGTTGAGGAGGAGAGCAGGCCCATGGAACCACACTGATCATCATCAATCCCATCCATCTCCCAGCCCCTCCAGCCCGTGGGACAGGGTCCCAGCAGCCCAGGGATGGGAGATCCCTGCACCCCACTGACCCCAGGAGCAGTTCATGTCCACGGGCAGCAGCCCAGCCAGGTCTCTGCAGCCCCAGCACCTGGAAAGAGCAGGTTCAACAGTTTCACAGGGAACGTTCCCTTCGCGTATTGATTTTGGCAGTTCTGGGATCCTTGCACAGGGAATGGGATGGGAAAACATAATGAACCTGGGAGCTGCTGAGTTAACTGTACCTGCAGGAAGAGAAGCAATATCCCCAAATTTCCCAGGAGAACCTGTGCTTCCTCTAGGAGCCATCCATTTCCTCCTCCTTCAGGCACACCAGTTCCTCCAGGAGAGATGTGTTTGTGTTTGTGTCAGGCACCTCCAAGCAGGAGAAGCTGCATTTTTGGAGCCAGCAATGGATGGGAGCCGCTCAGGCAGCTCCGCACACTCCTCCAGTGCCCCTTGTCCAGCAGCCCCAAAGACCTGTCCCCTGGCCACGCTGCCCTCAGCCAAGCTCCCCTTTCCTGCTGCTGCTGGAACCACACAAGCCCCAGGCACAAAGGAAAACCCATCCTAACAAACTGAAACGAGCCACTGGAAAAGCAAACCAGCCCAAACCCAGCACTCCTCACCCTCCCCAGGGCACACTGGCTCCTCCCCTCCAGCAGCACCTCTGCATTTCAAACAGCAAAGCTCCAGCCAGTCCAAGCAGCTCTGGAGAGGCTGGAGCTGCCCTGGGCACGGAGAGCAGCCTCCCAGAGCCAGGCCTGGCTTAAAGCCCAGCTCTCCTGTGGCCAGGGGATCTCTGTCTCTCCAGCCCAAGGGCACCAGGTGAGTCTCTGCCTCCCACAGGAGCTGTGCTGCAGCAGGGATGGAGCCGGCCAAGCTCCGAGCCTGAATCCAGGGCAGGAGGGTGTCAGCCACAAACACTGCACCCCAAATCAGCCTGCAGCAGTGACGGGGGCTGGCAGAGCTTGGCACAGCCCTCACCTGGCCCCCAGGGGTGAGAGATGGGGGGGCACACCTCAGCATCACAGCCCTGCTGCAGGGAGAGCAGAGCACTGCCATGGCCAAGGCCAGTGAAATCGGGCATCCGCTCATTTTATCCTTGCCTGGACACTGAAACACAGCCAAAGCTGCCACTGAACCGTGCCCTGGGCGCTGGGCACAGCTCCGCTGGGCTGGCTGCTGCCAAGCAGGCGGAGGAAAAGGGGTGATTGCTCTGCCCTCACACCAATTGCTGTGTCCCAGGTTTGCTGCAGTGAAAAGTCATCAAAGGTTCTGTTATCTGGCCTGAGATACAGACAGCCCCAGGTAATTAATACAGCCAGGTTCATCAGCAACAAGAACACAGAGCAGATTTGAGGAGTCCCAAGGAAGTTGCTAAAGCTCTCCTCAGTCTGTCTGCTAACACAAGCACGAGAGACAAAACTAAAACAGAAGTTACTCTGCAATCTAACATGGAAAAATCTGGTTCAGCTCTCCAGATTACTCCAGAGAATTAAGTACCGTGAACGGGAAGATGACCTTGTTGAAGGCACCCACAAGAGCCTGCAGAGCAATCCCACAGTGAAACATTTCTGTTCCTTCCTGGAATGAGGATGATGAGAAAGAAGAAAATCTTTACTCACCGAGCCGGTGTCCTGCAGTTCCTGCCCCCTGGATGTGCAGGGTCCTTCCTTACCTGTGGGGTGTGCAGAGCCTTCCCCACGCCCAGGGGATGCAGACACACCAGGGCTGCCCCCAGGGACAAAGCCCTGGGCCACAAAGCACCAGGGCAGAGCTGCCCCCTCCAACCTGCACCAAACACCCCTGGCTCTCCCCTCTGGTGTTGTATTTGAAAATAAGGACTGGGAAACATCCCCCGAAGAGTTATTGCCACAATAATTACTGAGGACAAATCGCATCCTCTGGTAGCTTTCCCTGGGATGTATTTAATAGAATTTATTTTGGTTATTTCCAGGAATCCTTGGCTTCTCTAGACTCCACGATTGTCCTTATTATTGTAAGAAATAATCCAATAATACAAAAGGGACTGTCTTAGATATATATTTGTGTGAGAAACTGGGACACTTGAGTGATTAGAAGGGAAGTCAGTGAGAGAATCTCAGCTACTGCTATGACCCTGTGGCCATGAGGCTACGGGGGTGAGGAGAGAGATCTTTTTATGGAAGCATTTAACACAACAACAGGAATACAAATCAAGCTCCATTAATTTAGCTTTAAATTTTAATGGATCAGGATGTGCAGTTTACATAAAGAAGGACTTGCTTAATAAAATATTAATATTTTTTGCTAAAAGAACTGTAAATTGCAAGTTAATATAGGTTTCCTTATATAGAACATCAAAAGTTGAAAAGCACTGAAAGAGCAAATCAAAAACAGAAAATAAAAATGGGCCAAAATTCAAGGAGAGTGAAATATTGTGTGTGGTCAGCCTCCAAGAGTGGGCCCTCAGTGACCCACATTAATTACTTGGGTTAATAAAGCCATGGAAACATTAAAAACAGGAAGTGTGGGGGCTTTGGTTCCATGCCAGGGGGTGGCTGTGACCCCTGTGGGCAGCCCAGGCACAAAGGGCTGGGGCAGCTCAGGTGTCCCCACAGGTCACAGGGCCAGCCCCAGATGTGACACCGGGTCCAGAGAGGGTCCGGGCTGGGAGCACCCCTGGGGCACCCTGGGGTCCCCCTCCTGTGTCACCCCAGCGTGTCCTGGCCACCTCTGGAGGGTGTCAGGGCTGGGCCATGTCCCACAGCCTGTCCTGTCCCCCTTGCAGAGGAGATGTGGCAGCAGGGGCACAGGAGGGGCCCCAGCACACCAAGAACTCCCCACGTCCCTGGGCTGGGAGGGCTGACTGAGGGAGGAAACCCTTGTTCCACAAATACCCAGCAATGCCTTGATCCTCCTTGTTGGTAATGCTCCACAGGGATCCTGCAGCCAGCAGGGCACAGGCCAGGCACAAGGTAAAGCTGGAACCCTGCCCCAGGACTGAGGCAAAGTGCCCAGAGCCAGCAGGGTCCCTGCAGCCAGCCAGGGCACGGGCCAGGCTCAGGGGATGAGGCTGACACGGTCTCCAGCTCTCCCACCCACCAGCCCTGAGGATTTTCTGGTAAGCATCAAAGTGCATTTGAGAACCTGCTCCTACGTGCCAGCTTTCCTTTAGGCATCATCCCACAAAGGGATGCTCACCTCATCCACAGGGTTAAAAACACCACTGGAGAAGTGACTCACTCCAAACATATTTCATTCCAGCTTTCCAAAGACAAGGAAAACCAAAAAGCATCTGCAAGTGAAAGCTCAGTGGTTTCAAACGAAACAAACCACAGCTCCATTTCCCAAGCTGGCACCTGGGGACTGCAGCCACGCAGCAGCAATAAAATTTACATGAACACCTCGTGTCTGTGTCAGTCTGAGGAGCTCTGGCTCTCTGGGTACAGGGGGAAGGTTGCAGGAGAGGGGAGAGGGAGACTCTGCAGAATCCCCGGTGTGGGGCTGTGAGGACATAGCCAAGGTCCCTGCTGGTTATAGAGCCCACAGCAAAGGTCTCTGCTGGTTTGGGTGCCCATAGCCAAGGTCCCAGCTGGTTATAGATCCCATAGCAAAGGTCCCTGATGGTTATAGAGCCCACAGCAAAGGTCCCTGATGGTTATAGAGCCCACAGCAAAGGTTTCTGCTGGTTTGGGTGCCCACAGCCAAGGTCCCTGCTGGTTGTAGAGCCCATAGCCAAGGTCCCAGCTCCCATAGCCAAGAGCAGGGGACTCACGTTGAGCTGCAGGTCGTCTGTCCACTGCCCCACCAGGCGGTAGCCAGGCGTGCTGGTGTTGCTGCTGTGGAACTGGAAGATGTCGTAGCGCCCCGGGGCATCCCCGTTCTTGTTGAACATCACTGGAGTGCCAGCACTGCCTGGGGAAGGAAACCAGACAAAATCCAACCACCCAGCACCAAAGCTTTACCCAGTCTTTCAGCTTTCACACAGGAAACACGTCCCAGGCCGAGGCCACCATCCCTCAGCCATCCAAAGGGGACACTTTGAGACACTGCCACCGCCCAGCCCTGTCCCACAGAGCCACCATCCCTGCCCTACCCTGCTGCCTGTAACAAACACAGCAGGGCCAGGTGAGCTGTGAGCCCTGCCTCACCCTGCTCTGCCCAAGGCCAGAAACAGCAGGAGGCTTTTCTTCCTGCTTCCCATCTCCCTGTCCTCAGGGAGTTCTGTGAAACCACTCCTGTGAATGCAGCCTCTAAATGCTGCTTTCCCCCCTCCAGAAAATGGCCCATTTACTTCTGAGAGATGCTGCTGTCAGAAGCCAGCCTGGGTCTGGTGAGTCTTGACCAACATCCAGAAACAGGAACCATGAGCATCCTCCTCCACTGTTATGGGGTGGGAGAGGACAGAGCAGCCTTGGGAACAGCACTCCTGGTGCACTCCCTGATCCAAGAAAATCACTCCTTGTGCAGTCCCTGATCAGGGAAGAGCATTCCTTGTGCACTCCCGTACCTGGGAAAGGCACTTCTTGTGCACTCTTATCCAGTAACAGCACTCCTTGTGCACTCCTTGTGCACTCCCTGAGCCAGGCTCTGTGGCACTACCACAGGAGTGTCCTGGGCAGACCCAGAGCAGGACCCTGAATTCACTTGATTTACCATGTAAATGGTAAATAATACCATTTAATAAATGGTAGATAATACCAGTCACTCCAGTGACAAACACAGGCAAGTGCAGGGCAAGAGAGCCCCAACCCTTCCTGTGCTGGCAGAGCCTGGAGCCGCCCTGACACCTGAGCCCCAGGTGAGCTCTCAGCAGGGCAGACACCTGCATTTAATCAGCACAGCCCTGCTGGGAACCCTCCCAGGAGGAGAACCAAAGCACTGCCTCATTTCCTCACAGCTCCAGCAGCACCTTCCAGGGTGACATTTATTTCCAGACATATTAAAATAGGCTGCGGTGGGGTAGAGTAATATTGTGTCAAGATTGAAGATTATGGCAATCCTCCAGCATATCTATATTCAAAGCTTCCTCCTCCTAACTTTTTTTCCCTAAAGCAATGAAAAATCTCTCCTGTTGTAGCACTGAACTTTAAGATTATCGTTTTCTTCATGATTCCCATTCTTCATTGAATTCCGGGGAGTGAAAAAAAGATTTGAAGGAGTGAATTAGCATAGTCTCCATTCCAGCCCTGGTAAATTGTTTCCTGTCTCTCCTACAATCCTCTGAGATCAGATACAAATTCAGTTCAAAGGCTGGTACAGAAAATCTCCCACTGAAATCTCTCCTGGCTGGTTCCTTGCGAGCACCAGGCAGATATTTAATTGTCATTACAGATTCATGCAGCCAGAATACATCAGAGTGGAAACACTCAGAGTCAATCAGCAATGGCTGTAATTCCTTGGCTCCTCAGGAAAGGCAGCAAAGTGCTCAGTGGGATTTGGCTGATCACCACTCTTAGGGCTGCTTAGGGTGAGTTAGGCTCAGCTTTGTCAGAGCTGACAAGAAAGGGACACCTGGAATGGCAGGAGCTCAGGTGAGCCCCCCAAATGCAACAGACACAGGCAGGAAGGTGCAGGGCTGGTCCAGGGCTGCTGGTTGGGAGGCAGATGGAGGATGGACACCACTGTCACAGCCACCCCAAAGCCAGTGCAGGGACAAACTGACAAACCCTCGGGGGACACAGCCAAGAACACACCACAGGCACCCCAAACCCCAGCAAAGGCACTGAAAGGGACCTGGGGTGGCCGTGGGGGCAGCAAGGGGGCACAGCACCATGGGCTGGGGGCCTAAAGGGACCCCACAGGCACAGCACCATGGGCTGGGGGCCTGCAGGGACCCCACAGGCACAGCACCATGGGCTGGGGGCCTGCAGGGACCCCACAGGCACAGCACCATGGGCTGGGGGCCTGCAGGGACCCCACAGGCACAGCACCATGGGCTGGGGGCCTGCAGGGACCCCACAGGCACAGCACCATGGGCTGGGGGCCTGCAGGGACCCCACAGGCACAGTCCCAGCTCACCATGGCTCAGAACAGGGCAGGCAGGAGCACACCCTGCTCACAGCCTGTGCTGGAATAGCTCAGCCCCAGGGGAGGTGGGATCCATGCAGCAGCTGGGGAGGCAGCGCTGCTGACCCCGGGGCAGGCACGAGTGTCCCTCTGCTCCCTTTGAAGCTGCAGTAATTGGGCTCCAGCCAGGGCTCTGCTCTGCAGGGCCGGCCCTCCTTAACATCTGGGTGAGGCTCTGGAGCCCTCTCTGTGCCACCTGTCTGCAGGGTCTGTCAGTCCTGCTTTGCATCACAGCAGCCATCCAGCCTCAGCTCGGGCTCCTTGCATGAAATAATGAAATTAATTAAAAGCGATGTATGAGAACCTCATGGCAGAGAGGAAACGGGCGTTTCAGAAATAACCCTTGATCTTCCAGTCATTAAAACATGTCGTTATTTAACCGGCGTTTGATCATTTAGGATTTATTTTCTTCCTGTTAAGATTTCCCAGGTTCTGCTGAGCCCACTGAGCAGTTCAGAACCTGTGTCAGTCTCCAGGCTGCAGCCTCTTGCTCGTGCAGAGCTGTGACAATTTAATTCAGTTCCCAACAAAGGAGCTGCTTCTCCCCACACAGACACAGGGCACTGACACCTGCAGGAAGCCCTCAAACCCAGACACAGCCTGACTGAAGTTGCAGGGCTTCCATCTCTTAATCACTGCAAGGTGAGGAATGAATGATGGAGAGGAGGCCAGGAGTGACACAGGTGTCACCAGCCAGGAGTTTGTACTCAGGGCACATCCATGGCAGCTGGGGCACCCGAGGGGCTCCCATGCACAGCATCCCCAGCTTTGCACTGGCAAAAACACAGCTGCACTTCACAACTTCCACAATTTCACTGGCTGAGCACTTGAGGTTTAACATCCTCCACATTTTGGGCCTTTTGTCCTCCAGGAGATGATCACAAAACGCACACTGAGCTCCTCACTCACATCCAGCCTCTCTCCATCACAGCCTGGCTGCATTGATGGCAGCACCTCTGCAAGGAGGGCAAGGACCCCCCAAAGCAGGGCCAGCAGGGGGGTCCCAGCTCAGGACCAGCAGAGCTGCTCCCCAGCAGGAGGATGGCCAGCTCTGGGGATGGGGACACTGGGAGCAGCAGCAGAGCAGGCCATGCTGTTCCTATCACACACAGCAGCACAGAGCTCCCCCTGCCCCACCCTGCACCCAGGGAAATCCCCTGGAGCACCGGGGAGCAGGATCTGCACCCAGAGCAACCCCTGCCAACCCCAGCCCCATGGAGAGGGGTCAGCAGGGGACAGAGGGGGTCAGGAGGTGACAGGGAGTGTCAATAAGGAAGTGGGAGTGTCAGTAGGTGACAGGAGTGGTCAGTAGGTGATGGGGAGGGGGTCAGCAGGTAATGGGGGGGTTTTAACAGGTGATGGGGAGGGGGTCAGCAGGTGACCAAGGGATGGCAGTCGGGGACCGAGGGACATCAGTAGGTGACGGGGGTGTCAGCAGGTTCCGGGCCGCGTCTCACCGTTGAAGTTGACGCTGCGGATGTACTTGAGCAGCCGCTTGCCCCCGGCGTGCTCCATCTCGGGGCACAGCCCGGCGCTGTCGGCGCACAGGTCGCGGTTCATGTGGTGCAGGGCGTGGGCCATGGCGTACACGGCATCGATCACGAACTGCACCTTCCCCTCCTGCTCGTAGTGCGAGTCCTTCCCGATGCGCTCCTGCCCTGCGGGGACACGGCGGCACTCAGGGACAGAGGGACAGCGCTGCCCTGTGGGGCACACGGTGACACTCGGGGACAGAGGGACAGCGCTGCCCTGGGACACGGTGACACTCGGGGACAGAGGGACAGCGCTGCCCTGTGGGGCACACGGTGACACTCGGGGACAGAGGGACAGCGCTGCCCTGTGGGGCACACGGTGACACTCGGGGACAGAGGGACAGCGCTGCCCTGTGGGGCACACGGTGACACTCGGGGACAGAGGGACAGCGCTGCAGAGCCTGAAGGAGCTGCGCCTCCAGCCGGGACCGTGAAACGCTGGGCTGCAGCGTTATCGATTAAAACACAACCAAACCTCAGTCACTGCTACCAGAATCACCGGCTCTGCTCGCGAATCACTCTCCATAATCCAGGAAACAAATCCTGCCCGGGCCCGCCGCGGATGCCGAGCCCGGAGGGAGCCCCAGAGCCCGGAGGGAGATCCCGGAGCCGCTCCCAAGCCCGGCCCCGAGGCCCCGGAGCTCAAAGCAAGGCACAGCCGGTATTAAACCTGGTGCTTGTTCTGCTGCAAATCCCGGGCTCTAATTGAAATCAAAGCCAGATCAAGGGAAGGAAGAGTCGCTTCAGAGAAGCCACCGACGGGGCCGCGGAGAACTGAGGAACGCGCCGGCAATTAGCGGCTAATTAACGGGCAATTAACGGCACCTCGGGATGCTCCCGTCACCTTTCGCCTGAAAATGTCCCCTGGATCCCTGGCAGTGCCCAAGGCCAGGCTGGACAGGGCTCGGAGCACCTGGGGCAGTGGCAGGTGTCCCTGCCAAGGCACTGGGTGGGATTTAAGGTCCCTTCCAACCCAAACCATTCCAGGATTCCATGATGGTTGAGGCACCGAGTTTTACATCTCAGCTCCTCTAGAAACCCCGCAATCCTGCAAACAAGGGAGCAGAACAAGCGAGTTTCCAGCTGGTGAAGTTCCAGGCAGGATCCTTTTCATTATTCACTCCTCTCATTGATTACAGAACTTATCAGGGTTTCAAGCCCTGACAAGGAAAATGCTTTTAAGTGGCTTCAGCTCTGTAACCAAATGAGCAATGCAGCAGGAAGGGATGCCAGGGGAGGGGATCTGGCATTGAAATGCTGCACACAACCAGCACTGCTAAGCCACAGCAAGATCCAGAAGCACGGCTGGGCACACACACAGGAGGGCGAAAACCTGCAGCAGTGGAGAGATCTGGAGAGGAACCCAAGCAAAACACACCTGGAAAAACCCAGAGCAATGTAACGGTGTCCAAACATGAAAACAGTAAAGGTTTTTAAATCTCACTAGAATTTCCAAGAACAAGGATGCTTCCCTGTGCTGGAACAGCCCCTCAGCTGGGTATGAAACATCAGCTGTGCACAGTTACTCCAGATGTGGAGCCAAATGTAACTGCTCACCCCAAAATTATCTGAATTTACAGCTGGGAGTGTGCTGTCCTTCACCAAAACACAGCTTGAGGTGCCTCCTAAAGAGATTCTACTGCAATTATAAATTGAACCCAAATCTGAAGCAGCAAAGAGCCTGCAGAGCAAATATTATGATTATGAAATGTTGTGGACCAAATATTGTTCAGACTTCAAAAAAACCAGCAAATATCCAGATCAATAGGCCTGGCTGAAGAGTGCTCCCTCCAGTTTGTGTCACCCTGTTGCAATGAGCAGCAAATCAGGCCCAGAGTCCATTTTCAGGCCAGAATAAACCAAAGGTGATGGGCACAATTTTAATTCCAACTTCAACACTATTGTGGGGAATATTTCCCCCTCCAAGGCTGAGCTGAAGAAGTCAGGCAGAAGGTTTTACCCCAGGCTCCAGGAGCAGCTCCTGTGTGATGGGAGTACAGAAATTCAATTATTAATTACTCTGCAGGAGAAGGAAGCTCCCAAAAGGCACCGAGTTGCTCCAGATGGAAGCAGCAGGAGCAGCGCTGTGGGTGCCTCTGGGGAAGGGGCAGGAGAGACCCCCCAGCCCCTGTCTGGGCATCCTGGGGTCCCATGGAGGGAGGGCTGGAGAACCAGCCTAAAACATGGGGGCAGCAGGAAACCACGCGCCCCTCTGTGCTGCCAGAGCAAAACCATGGGAAGTAAAAACAAACCCCATCTGCACCAGTTCTGATCATTGAGAACTGCATTATTTCTGATCTTCTTTGAGAACTTCACCATTTCTGATCATTGAGAACTGCACCGTTTCTGCTCCTCATTGAGAACTGCACCATTTCTGATCATTGAGAACTGCACCATTTCTGTTTCTCTTTGAGAACTGCACCATTTCTGATCATCTCTGAGAACTGCACCATTTCTGATCAATGAGAATGGCACCGTTTCTGCTCCTCTCTGAGAACTGCACCATTTCTGCTCCTCTTTGAGATCTGCACCATTTCTGATCATTGAGAACTGCACCATTCCTGCTCCTCTTTGAGAGCTGCACCATTCCTGCTCCCCTTTGAGAAGAAGGTTCTTTTCTGTTGGTTTTTAGCCCGGGGATGTGCAGGAGCCCCACAGCAGCACGGTTTCCCTCAGCAGAGGAGCAGCTGGGACACTCGAGCACAGCGTGATTTCAGAACACACTTCTGTCCCACGGGTTTGCAGTGAGTACCTCGGGATGGCAGGAGAAGATGAAACACAAAGGCAGTGTGTTGACACGAGCATTTTTTGCCTCCAAAGGATGTATTTGAAGGGGATGAGAAGCAGTTTAACTCCCCCTTCCCACTCGAGGCTGGAGTGCTCCTCATCCTGATTCCTGAGAGACGGAGCAGGGGCCGGCTTCAGGCACATCCTGACAGCAGAACAGCTGCAACAAAGGCAGGGAAACAGCTCCAACCCAGAGTGCTGAGAACAGAGAGAAGAATCCCACTTGTTCCATCCTTTCAGACAGCAGCAGTGAGATGCAGGTTTGAGAGCTGCTGGTCTCCCTCCTTCATCTCGAGACGTGCCTGTTCCCAGCGCCTCTCCTTCAGCTGATCCCCCTGCTCTCATTGTTATCACCACACAACAGAGGGGACGTGTTAGGAGGAATAAATAGTATCTCTAGGACGATTTTTATGGCATATAATTCACACAGGCAGACATCAAAATCCCACTCCATCGGCGCTCGCGCGAGATGAGTTCAGAGCCTGCTTCAGCTCCTGAAGAATTAAACACATCTTCAAAGGGTCTGGCACAATGGTGCTGCTGAGAGCCTGGTGATAGTCATCATTAACAAGAGATTTAATTTAAAGATTGTGCCGGCTCACGGTATCAAGCAGGCAGCTCTCATGTGCACAAGGTGCAATTCGGCAGCTGGCAGAAACATCTCAGCGTTCATCCATCCCAGCAGCAGCACAGAGCCCTGCTGGGGACAGGGACAGCCCAGCCTGCACGGACACACAGGGCTCTGCCAATACCCCTCTGGAGCTCCGTGCCAGCACACCCTGCACACACGGCCCTGCACACACGGCCCTGCACACACGGCCCTGCACACACGGCCCTGCAGGCTCCTCCACATCAACTCCTGTGTGAGAACAGCTGGGAACAGCTCCAGAGCCCTCCTGGGGACAGGGACAGCCCAGCCTGCACACACTCACAGGGCCCTGCAGATGCCCTCCTGGTGCTCCCTGCCAGCACACCCTGCACACACAGCCCCCAATCATGGTATCCCAGAATGGTTTGGGTTGGAAGGGACCCTAAATCCCCCCCAGTGCCACCCCTGCCATGGCAGGGACACCTCCCACTGTCCCAGGTGCTCCAGCCCCAGTGTCCAGCCTGGCCTTGGGCACTGCCAGGGATCCAGGGGCAGCCCCAGCTGCTCTGGGCACCTGTGCCAGGGCTGCCCACCCTGCCAGGGGAAGAATTCCTTCCTAAATTGTTCCATCCTCCACCTAAAACAAACCACCCAACCCCTCCAGCTGCCCCTCACTCAAACCAAAGCCCTGCTGGTGGCCCGTTCCCAGGGCAGGAGGAGAGGAAGGATCCATTCCTTACCTGTGCATTTCCTGTCCGAATCCTCCTTCTTGGAGCCAGTGATGGTCAGCTTGCAGTTGAAGTTCTCCTCCCAGTACTCTGCAAACCACACGTTCCTCCTGTTGTTCTCCAGGGTGCGAGAGGTGAAGTAGGTGTCAAAGCCTGCAGGGGGAGAGGGCAGGGCTGGGGCCTGGCTGCTGTGCCCTGGGAGCCTGGCACACACACTGGGGCCTGGCTGCTGTGCCTGGCACACACACTGGGGCCTGGCTGCTGTGCCCTGGGAGCCTGGCACACACACTGGGGCCTGGCTGCTGTGCCTGGCACAGACCCTGGGGCCTGGCTGCTGTGCCCTGGGAGCCTGGCACACACACTGGGGCCTGGCTGCTGTGCCCTGGGAGCTGCAGCCTGGCACTGACCCTGCCCTGGTGCCTCAGCCCTGCTCCTGCCCCCCATTCCCTGCTGGTTCCCTGCTGTGCCCTCCCAGGGCCAGCGGTCCCTCTGGAGCTCTGTGCCAGCCCCACCAGGGCACACCTCACCTCTCACCTGTGCTGGGCTCACCTGGCTGTGGCTGCAGTGGGCAGAGCAGAGCTGTGCCTGCTCCCCAGGGCACCCCAGCCTGCAGCCCAGCACAACAGGAGCTTCTCCTTCACTAAGGGAGTTGTGGAGGAGCTCAAATACCCAAATCTGAAACAGGATGAGGCAGAGCAGGGGTGGGGAGGATTGAGAATGCTGCCTGTGCCCAGAGGAGCTCTGGAGTGAATGATCTGCCATCCTGCAGGTGCAGTCCCACTGCGGAGGGCATCTCACAGGATGTTTGGGCACTGCAGCTGCTCCGGCACTGCAGAGGAGAGTGCCAGGATGAGCTCTCACAGCCCCAGCCCCATCCAGGGCTCTGCAGTGAGGAAGGGCTGCAGATGCACCTCCCATGCACGGGGGAGCCTCCCTGGCCCTGCAGCCAAGGGTTTCCCTGCTGGGGAGAGCCACAGGGGCTGGCACAGCACAGGGTGGAGCTGAGACTCAGGAAACCCATCTGGCACGGGAAACGAGCACGGCAGCCCTTCCAGCAGGGCAAAAATAGCACAAAGGCAGCTGCTTGCAAACTGGAGAGGAGACGGGAACGGGGTCAACGCCTGTTCTCCCTGTGCCAGTGACCCAGCTCCAGGCTGCGCCCTGCCAGGGCTGAGGCTGCTGCTCTGAACGCTGCCCAGCCCCAGGGACAGCCCAGGCACCCCAAAGAGCAGCCAGGAACAAACAGCAGCACTGAGCCCTGCCAGAGACAGGCTGGAAGCTCACTCACACTGCACCTGCAGCCTCCCCAGACAATGCAGTTTGTTAAAGCCAAGGCAGGTCCCTCCTCCAGGAGAGGCAGCAGGAGGGTGTCAGAGCACAGCCCCAGCCTGAAGCAGCCCATGGGAAAGGCAAGGAAACCACAAATTGGGCTGGGAGAACCCTCAGGGCTGGGCTGCAGCTCTGTGAGTACCTGGGGGCACTCTGAGCTCCACACCACTGCCCAGCCCTGCAGTGGGGACTGCAGCTGGGGATGAAACCTTCTCACAGTTAAATGGACCAAAGTGCAGGAAAAGAGACCTGGGCTGGCAGAGACCCCAGCCCTCCCTGCTCTGCTTGTCCTGAGGCAGGGACCTCACCTGGGCCTGCCACAGATTGAGTGAATAATGGGTTAAAACTCCTGGGACACCTGCTGGAGATAACTGATAACAAATGAGTCATTTAGGAACATTTCTGTGCCAGCATTGCTTCTCTACCCAAACCTTTCTGTGATTCTGTGATTACCATTTAGAGGATTGAATTCCCTGAGGAGAATATTCAGAAAGCAGCCAGGTTTTATGGACACACAACCAAAACTGCTTCCTTCAAACCTGTGTAGTTTGGTTTTGCTCCTGATTAAAAGAGCATTTCAAAGGGGATATCCACTCCTGAGATGTACAATGTCCATATGGCAGGGAAAGAGCAGCAATAAACCCTCCCCACGTGCCAAACTCACTGACTTCTGGGGAAAGTGCTCTATAACTTAATAATGCAAAATCAATGAGTCCTGATAAAACTGTAATAGAATTCCATATGAATTACTCTGAACCTTTACAGATTTAATAACAAATAATAACATTCCCATTGATTGCTTTAATGATCCCTCTGCATTCACAGGCAGGAATATGGATCCCTATTAAAAAGGGAACATTTTTTACCATTCTCTCCTATTGACTGGGACAAGTGGGGGGGTGACAGTGGGAGGGTTCAGGGCTGGACAAAGCCCTGGACAAAGCCCTGGTCACTGCAGGCTCAGCCCTGTCCAGCCCCTCTCCTGCAGTGCACTCCATTCCTGGGAATGCTGCTCCTGGAGCCAAGGTCCTGGAGAACCCCCAGACCCTGCCCTCCTTCCCAGCCTGGGAACTGGGATCTGGGGTGGTTTGGGCTGGAAGGAGCCTAAATCCCACCCTAAATCCCAGCCAGGCCACCCTGCCATGGCAGGGACACCTTTCCCTGCCCAGGCTGCTCCAGCCCTGCCCTGGGACACTGCCAGGGGTGATTTTAGCAGCCAGGACTGTCCCCACACGTCCCACAGGGCTGTCCTGCAGGTCCACCTGTGCCAGTGGGAATCTCAAATGCTTCTCTCATTTCAGAGCCTTGTTTGGAACAAACCTGACCCAAAAACGCTCAGGTGAACAAGGCAAACGTTCTAACCACACACCTGGGGCTGTGCTTCACCTTTCTGACTGAAAACACACAGGGAGCTCACCCACACAGAGCTGAGCTGAGAGTGCTGGGCTCACCCACAGAGCTGACACTGCTGGGCCCAGGGGCTCTGGGGTTCCATGGCCCAACAAAACCCACTGAATGCTGAAAGGCAAGAGCAGCAATCATCACTTCCCAGCCCTGCTCGTGACCAGGCACTGCACTGCTGTGACAAGATTTAGTGATTCCCCAACGCTCCCCATATTTCATACTTTAGCAAATCACTTTTTCAGCAAATACCTCTAAGAGATATAAATAGTTCCTTTATGAGATTTTCCAAATTACAACGAATCTCTTATTACTTCAAATCACTGTGATTTGATTAAATCATCATTTTTACACGTAGAAAGACGATACTACCTAAAGGGTTCATTTATTTTCCCCCACGGGATAAATACGTACATGGACCACATTGTGATGAGACAGAGGGGAAAAGGGGGGAGCTGGAGGGGGGAAAGGGACAGGATCCCAAAGCCTGGGAGGAGCTGGGGACATCCAGGTGAGGGACAGGGACAGGATCCCAAAGCCCGGGCAGGTCCAGGTGAGGGACAGGATCCCAAAGCCTGAGTCCAGGTGAGGGACAGGGACAGCACCAGCAGGGATGCTCAGCAGAGCCAGGAAATAAACCCTGCTCGGCCACTGCACCAGCACACACCACAAACCATCCCCTCCACGTGTCACAAGGGGCGTCAGGGCCTCAGGGCTTATTTAATAAGGAAAATCATTAAGCCTAATTAAACCTCAAAATTATTGACCTGGTGCATTTGCCATGGGCCTCGAGTGCTCTCATTGGCAGCCCAGGTGAGAGCAAATCCAACACATTGACCCAATTTCACTGCAGCAGGGAGGGGAGCAGTTTGTGATATTTTTACTCCTCTATTTAGTCCCAAGGATGTCCACACTACTGACAGCCAGTTATTTACCCACACAGTAAATCATCACCTGCTATAATTATTGATGCCAAATGAGCTGAAAGCAGCTACTCAAACACTTTTCCAATTTCCCTAGCATTTAACCCAAGGCAGTGTCATTTACTGGCATTACATCTGGGATAAAAGCGTTAGGTGGGGAATGACAGCATCAATTTTAGGACACAAGTCTCTCTGCAGATTTTCTGCTGCTGCCCAGCCACACACTGTGAGGTGGTGTTAAGACAGTCTACAGATATTGCTTTAACCTTCTTGCTCGGTAAAAAGGCCATAAGAGAAATGATTTCATTAACTTCCATCACGCCATGAAAGTGCTTTGCAGCTGTTTTCTTTTGCAATAATTGCAGATTGTGACTGTGCAAAGGGGTATTTCAGGTAGTGCCACATCTGACTTTAATGTCCATGACATAAATCAGGTACAGAGGGAGTTCCACTCAGGGCAGACCTGGGATTTTGGGCTGTTCTGATGGGGAAATAAATAGATAGATAGATAGATAGATAGATAGATAGACAGACAGACATAGATAGGTAGGTACATAGGTAGATGATAGATAGATTAGATAAATGGATAGACAGATTACAGGGAGATACAGGGAGATAGAGGGAGATACGTAGGTAGGTAGGCAGATAGATAAATAGATAGATGATAGATGGATAGGTAAATTAGACAGACAGACAGACAGATTTTGGCTGTGCCCTCATTCCCACGGTACAAAAGGACCCAGCTGAGGTGAGATCTCAGCCATTGCTGGGTGGGCAGCCCTGGCAGGGAAAGGCTCACACACCAGGCTGTTGTTACTCATTATTCTGCATCCCGCACCCTCAGGCACCTCTCACTCCCTGGGAGCTCCCCTGTGCACAACACCAGCAGCACAAGCCCTGGGTTTGTCTCTCCATTTCCATTCCCAGGCAGCTCCAGCAACACCTCCTGGAGCAGAACCCTGCCAGGAATTCTTCCTTTCCAGCTGCCCACTTGCTGGAAACGGGCAATTTGTTTTGCCAGGACCTTTATCCGTGAAAAACCCCTTTTCCTCACAGCTGAAGATGAGCTGAAAGCTGTTGAGCAAATACCAGAGCAGCTGGGGCTGCCCTGGACCCCTGGCAGTGCCCAAGGCCAGGCTGGATATCAACCTGGGACAGTGGGAGGTGTCCCTGCCATGGCAGGGTGGCGCTGGGTGGGATTTGGGGTCCCTCCCAACCCACTGGATGTTCCTTCCCATCGGTTTCCCAAGTTCCAGCTCCCCAGCCTTTCAGCAGCAGCTGCTCCACAGATGGCCTGTTCCATTTTAATAATGCAGAGCAGCAAAAGCTGAGATGCAGGAGGTCAAAATGCAGAACATGAGAGCGCTTTTCCCCCTGCTCAGCAGCCACTGACAAAATGCTCGAGCCTCTCCTTAAAAGCAGCTAAACTGCAGTCACTCACTGCATAATTCAAACCAGGGTGAAAATACAGAGATCCCGCTCTGCTGGGATGCAGAGACTGCAGCAGCTCCTGGGGACACTCAACAGGTTAAAATTGTAATAAATATTTATAATAAAACAAAAGTGCAAGGGGCTGCTCTGCCCAGCCTGGCTGCACTGAACCTCCAGAGTTAAACTCATAATAAAGAGTTATAATAAAATGGGAAGGGACCCTAAATCCCACCCAGTGCCACCCCTGCCATGGCAGGGACACCTCCCACTGTCCCAGGTGCTCCAGCCCCAGTGTCCAGCCTGGCCTTGGGCACTGCCAGGGATCCAGGGGCAGCCCCAGCTGTGCCAGGAACAATTCCTCATTCCCAAAATCCCATCTGAACCTCCCCTCCTCACTCCGTTGTCCAGTCCCCCCTGCTCCTGTAGAAAATCCCTCCCCAGCCCTCCTGCAAGCCCCTTCAGGTCAGGATCTCTGAGATCTCCCCAGAGCTTTCTCTTCCCTCTGAGCAACCTCAACTCACTGAAAACAGAACCAAACCCCTCAAGTTGCAAGATAATTTGTATTCCCCTCTCTTCACACCAACACATTAACCAAATACATTATTTCCATAATGAGGAGATGAACATCTGTGTGGCTTCCCAAAATTTCAAGTGGCAATACTCGAGACAAGTATTCCCTCTTTGGGACTGATACATCAGCATTTCAAATGACTGCCACAACTAAAAATATCATTGAAATTCCAGGGAGGTCAGAGACAGTTCAGGTGTGGTTTGGATTTCAGGTTTTTTAGGTAAAGCAAACCAATTGGATCCCATGAAATTAAATCACTGCAGTGTTGGACTGAATCATTTGTGCTTGGGTAAGTGAGGTGCTCAGAGCAAGCTTTGCAATGGTGGCAAAGACAAACACCTGGAGCAGGGCTGTGTCCCTGAGAGCTGCTGTGACAGAGCCCAGAGCTCTGGGTCAGGGCCCCATGGCAGCAGAGCAGCCCCAGCTCTGGGGGCTTCACCTCCTCCTGCCTTTGGGACAGTAAACCTGCCCAAATCCCTCAAAACCAATTCATCCCATTGGATCTGGGATATTCTCCTTTGGAAATTCACGCTCTGGGAAGCAGTAGCTAAACAGAGAAGCAGGAAACCAAAGGTGGAAAGGAGGATGAGAAGGATTTCTGCTTCACATCTGGGCTCCATCCTCTGTGACCCAGCGAGGGGACTGAGGGCTCCTGGCACAGGGGGGCACTGGGGGCACCCAGAGGACACAAACTGGAAAGGAAATCATCACTGAACACTCAGGGAGGTGGCACTGGAGAGGAAATGAGCACTGAAAGCCCAGGGAGGTGGCACTGTGGCACCAGCCCGGTGTCACCCCTGCCCAGCCACAGAGGAGCTGGGCTGTTCCTGTGCCATGCAGGTGCCAAGGGCACTGTGGCACCACACCACGGGCCCTGATTAGGCCTCATCATTATTCACAGGCAATTCCAGCATCCTCCCCAGCACAGCCCCTGCAGCCACATCCTTCCAGCCCAGCTCCTCTCCCAGCACGTGGCTCACGCCCCAGGGACACAGAAAGAGCTGCAGAACAACAGAGGGCTGGAAAGGAGCCTGCACCAGGCTGCAAACAAACAGAAGGAATGGAAAGGGAAGTTTTTACAAGTATTATTATGCAATAAACTCTGGCCTCCTGCTCCCATGAGGAGAGGCAGGAAGGGCTGAGGGCAGCACATCATTCCCAGGGAATATTCCAGGGAAAAATGAACCCTGAGCTCCTTCCTCTGGCACTCAGGGGCTGTGAGGGTAAAACACTTCAGAGCCATAAACAAGGAGAGAATTTCATTCTCAGTTTTGCTTAAGTCACCGCTCTTTCATTGCTTTTTCCAAGTTCATACTGCCCAAATAAAAAAGGAGCAAAGCAGCTCTTGGTGGAAATGAAAACAAAATGGGATTCACATCTCTTTGGAAGACAAACAACAGAGAATTCCTGGGACAGTTTTGTTGGCTTGCAGTTTTTAATTTTTAAATATACAGGCTCATCCCTGTCCTGGATCTGAGCTATCCCTCAGCCTGCTTGCCCAGAGCTTCCCAAACTCCAGCCCCATCCCCAGGCTCTGGAATGAACCTTTAATGTGAAATCCCTCTGAATCCCAGCGCTCAGTTACAGCAGCTCTGAGCTCAGACAGCAAAGACTGCTTTTCTCCACATCAGCTAAGCTTTTGCCAGACTTTGTAAATAATTCAGCTCAAATCTCTGTCCTACCCTCTATCCAGCTGCTCCCCTCTCCCAGGGGCTGCAGTCCATGCAGCCAGAGCACACTCACTGCTGAGGGAGGGCAGGGGGAGCCTGGCTGGGGAACACAGGAGGGGAAAACAGGAGAGGGAAACAGGAGAGGGAAACAGGAGAGGGAAACAGAGCTCTGCAGGGCTCGGTGCAGCCCTGCTGGGACTGCCCAGCCCCACAAAATCCCTGCCCAGCCCCACAAAACCCCTGCCCAGCCAAGGGCAGGGCCAGAGAGGGGGAAAGGTGAGCACATCCCTCCCAGATGAGATGAAAACAATTGCTGGGACTCAGGGTGAGGCTTGGGGATCTGTTGTCACCTTATTGCAGGGTTCCATGCTGTTGTCTCCTTATCACAAGAGTTCCACACCTTCCTGGTGTTTCTTGTAGGCAGCTCCTCAGAGCTCTGACTCTCTCCTTCACACAGCACCCAACTGACTCCAGTTCCCTTCTCAACACCACCCCACTCTTTTATGGCATCTTCTTCTCAATGGGTGCAGTTGTGCCCTGTTAAAGTCAGGCCTGCTCCTGATCTTTGATAACTGCCCCAGCTGCAGCTCCTTAGGGGTGAGATTACTTTCCTCACTATCTTTATTTTCTTATATTCTGTCCCCCTACAGGAATCTCCTCTGGGGTGAGGAGGAACCAGCTCAGAACACCAAGGAGCAGGGCCCAGCATCAGAGAATCATCCTGCTGCCACAGCTGCTCTGTGAACTATCAAACAAATAAATATATAAATGAATACAATCTCCTCTTTCTCCTCTGAAAGCCTCTCAAGCCTCTCAGGTTCCCTGTACCTGGCTGGGCTGGCTCTGGAGCTGCTCCCCACCTGATTCCTCTTTCATGTGCACTCCTCTGGCTCACTGTCTACTGCAATTATGCAAATAAAATGCAACTTCATCCTTTCAGCATAATTACATCAAACACAATCAGGCTATATTAAGACTGACTTAAGATGAATGAATTCAGTTCATCTAATGATTTCCTAAATCCCCCCCGTGGGACCGTGGCAAAGGAAATTCTGTCCCAAGAGTGACATCAAGTACCAAGACAAATAACTGTGGATCTGGGGCCTGATCCTACAAATACCAAACACTTGGGGCCCCTCTGGAGTGACAGGCAAGCAGGAGCACCAGCTGGAACCTGCATGCAGAGCTGTAAAAGCACAGCACACCTGCACGTCACACCTGGATTTTGGCTTGAACTCACTGCTGGGGGTGGAGAACAATTTAAAAATGCTTTTTTTTCTGCGCAGCGAGTGTTTGAGTTCATGAGCTGTGTGAGGTCCCGTGGCCAAATGAAACTCAAAGGCCAGAAAGGGAACCAGAACAGCCTCCAGCAGCCTGGGCTGAGGAAAGCAGCGACCCAGAGGGCTCAGGGCCTCCCTGGGCATGGGGACACCAAAGCCTGGGGGTTCCTGACACATCCCCTGGCTGCTCTCCTGGGGATGGACAGAAATGGGACCAGCCTGAAAGGGGAACGTGGGAGCTGAGCTGCTGCAGCAGCGCTGGGGTGAGCTCTGAGCACCCCCAGGCCCTGGCAGCAGGAGCAGATGGCACATGCAGATGGCATTGGGGACAGCTGGCTGGGGCGGGCAGGAGCCCCCTGCCCAGCCCAGGGACCCCTCACCCTGCCCAGGGACACCTCAATGTGCCCAGCACAGCTCCCATCCTCACAGGGACCCCTCACCCTGCCCAGCCCTTCTGGAACGCACAGACCCCACAGGTGTGTCTGAAGGACACCTCGGGCACACACACACCTTTGCAGGCAAACTGCACTTTAGGCACCACAGCAATCCCCAGCCCACGTGCAAAATGCACCCAGGCACTTCCCCACCCAACCAGGAGATATTTGCAGGCTCCATAAATATTTTTGCAGGCTCCATAAACACAATTTTTTTGCAGGTACACCAAATACACTGATATTCATACCTGCAATTTAACTGACTTTGTACACCTGAACTCTCCCACTCTGCCATCCTCACTCACTGCCTCCAAAACCCCCTCGTGCTCCCCATCAGGGGTTTAATGCGTAACATAAAAGGAAAATATTTTAAAACAAAGAAACGTGGGAAGTTTTTGTTTCTGTGTACTGTTGACAGAATTTTTGGTTCTGTGTCAGAAACCCTCAGGGATGAATACAGACAGTGGGAAAAGCTTATTAAAATATCCTGCTTTTCAGAAACAAACCACTTCATTGTCTGTCAACTTTCTGTATTTACGGAGAAATAACATCCAAGAGTGCCTCGGGGGGCTAAAAAATGTAAAAGAATGAAGCAGATGATCTACCTGAGAGGAATAACTGATGAGCAGGGAGAGCAGGCGCAGGAAAAATGCAAATATTTGGTTTTCCAGGGAGTAGAGCCACCAGAACCCATTTTAATGTGGGCAGCGTGTTGGAGGACTGGGCCAGCAGAGCAGTTGGGTTTCTCAGTGCCTCCCCTGGAAATAACTTTTCCTCCAGAGAACACAGACCCTGACCAACCTCGCCCAGAGGAAGCCATGTGGATGCTGAAGCATCTTTAGCACAGCAGGATTAACAAACTGAAGTGAGATCAGACTACAAACACTGGGGAGCACAAGGGAAGCTGAGAAAGAAAGGGGTTCAGCAAAACCAGCTTCCCAAAATTCACCATACACACACATCTGTACGGGTGTGGCTATTTCTGAAGCACACAGCAATATGGATAAATATAGTGCTTGATCTGAAATAAAAGTTAAACTGAGTTTAAACAGAAACCACTGATGGAAGAATGAAGTTTTAATCAGCACGAAAGGTCTCTTACCCTCGATGGTGGCTCTCTTGGGCAGGATGGTGATGGCTCCCTCGGCCACGTCCTCCTGCTGCAGCAGCGGGCTCACCTTGGAGCCCCAGGTGTCGGAGCCCACCCACAGGAAATGGCCCACCTGGTCTGCCCTCTTGGCTGCTGCCAGGATCTGCCTGCGGAGAGAGCGGGGTTGGCACCGGGGGCACTGACAGGGGGGCTGCTACAGGAACGGGGGGTTGGCATCGGGGGCACTGGCACGGGGCTGCTCCAGGGAATGGGGTGGCACTGACAGGGGCTGCTGCAGGGAACGGGGGGGTGGCACCAGGGGCACTGCCATGGGGGATGCTCCAGGAATGGGGGTGGCACTGGCACAGGGGGTCCCACTGGCACAGGGGCTGCCCCCTTGGCCTCAGGGGTCTCCTCCAGCCTGACCGGGCTGTGATGAGGAGGAGCAGCACATTCCTGACCCCAGCAGAGCTCAGGGCTTTGGGACACTCGGTATCACCAGGGCTCTGATCCCAGGGAAGGATGGGACTGGGTGATCTCCAAAGGTCCTTCCCAACCCAAACCATCCCATGATCCATTCTCTTGAAATTCACCCAATATCCCACAACTGAATTATTGATTCTACTGAAACTTAGAGCTTTCCCATTGACTTTACTGAAACTTTTCCCAATATTCTTTTTGTCTCGTTTTGTGGGACCAGGCCTCTCAGCAACTGATGATTCCACCACAATTTTAAGCCAATTTCAAATTCTGGACCCAGAATACGCAAGCGAATAATGAAATATAAAACATTCTTTGTGTTATTTTATGAGCCCATTCCATGTGGTTTAACCTTGAGCATCCAAGTCACTTTATCACTATTAACTTTCATTTGCCATAAACCAGGCTGAATTAATGAATTCCACCGAGTAGAACGAGCCTGGAGAGGGGGGGCGTGTTTGCAATTCCTCTGAGAGGAAAGGTCAGCTCTGCCACCCAGCAGGAGCTTGGAAAAGCTCCAGGAAAAGCTCCCAGGTCCTGGTTCCCATTCCCAGCTCCCCATATCTCACGTGCCAGCAGTGCCTGGTGCTGTCCCCCATTCCCAGCTCCCCAGATCTGATGCGATTCCCAGCACAGACCTTTCCCTGGCCCAGGCTCACCTGATGTCCTCGTCGTGGGCGAAGATGACGATGGCCCTGGCGTTGGGCGTCTCCAGCAGCTGCCGGATGATGCGGTCGAAGTCGATGCTCTTGTCCTTGCGCTCCTGGGGGATCTTCAGGGACTGGGCGATGCAGAGCCCACCTGTGCCAGGGGCAGAGCACAAAGGGATGCTCAGGGGGGGACAGGAGATGCCACAGAGCCCACAGAGCCCAAAGGGAGCCTGGGAGGGAGGGACTCCCCCAGGAATCACTGCCCTTCCAGCACCCAGGGCCAGATCCAGAGGGATCCGTGCAATTCCTGCTCTGATCCAGAGCAATTCCTGCTCTGACAGCACTGCCTGACCTGGGGGGGTCAGGGGTTACACAGACTGTGCCCAACCCACTGCAGAACGGCCAGACAAGCAAAGAAATGGGCAGTGGAAGGACGAAAAGGAATTAAAACAGGAGACAACAGCAAGCTGAACGAGCCTGAACTGATGAATAAACCCCAAAACAATGGGCTGAGAGGCAGAAGGTGCTGGCAGTGTACTGGGCAGGTTTATCTCACTGAAGGGCTGAGATTCTTTTTGATTTTGCAGCTTGAGGGCTACTGGGGGAAAATGCTTCCACTGCAATCACTTACATGGAACAGGAACAGCCAAAGCTGAGATATTGGCAAAGCCCACACTGTGCAGGAAAACCCCTGTTCCTTCAAGGGCCCACCCCCAAACAGATGGACAGACACAAACTGCGAAACCTCAAAGTCTGTGAGAGAGACTTCTCATAAACACCCAGAGAACACAGCAAAGAGCATCAGCACAGCCACGGGTACCCTCAGCCAGACCAAAAATGCCCACTTTTAGCACAACTACTGTACTACAGCTGTCCAGTTTGTTTTAGAAAAAAAAGAATTTAAAAAAATCCCATCTCCCATCTCCACTGACATTCTGGTTGTTGCTGGCAGATGAAAACGCAACTTTTGCCTTAATTATTTTGTTTCTCAGCAGTAATCGCTTTCATCTTTTACAGCATCTTTGATACCAACCTGCTCACCACAGCGCACAGAGCGTTAATTAATAACGTATCAGAGCTCTTAATAAAAACCAGCAGTGGGGATGAGTTAATTAAAAGGCAGCAGGACAAGGGGGAGATTCACAGACAGGCTTTAAAACCCAGCTTTAAAAGTCCTGTAATTGAAGCACTGGAGAAGGAGTTGGAGGGTGAAGGACCCAGAGGAGGAGGAGGAGGCTCAAGACCCGGCACATCCTCCTCATCCCAGGGCAAAGCAGACCCAGAGAGAAGCAGGGAAAAGCAAACTGCTGCTTGGGAATGTGAAACCCAGCTCCTGAGCCCCTCACAAGGCAGGCCAGCCTTGTTTTCCCTGGTTTTTGAGAGAGGAGCTGAGCTGCAGCTGCCTGAAGGCAAAGGAGCTCTGCTGGGCCAGCTGCTCCAAAGGCTCACTGGAACAGAACCATTGTTCCATGGGGAGGAGGGAAACAGTGAACAGGAAAGGCTGGAAGAGAATAAAGGAGAATAAAAACCCCCAAGTTTTTCTCTGACTCACATAAAACATTTGTTTTGCAATTATCACAACCTGGACTTTCTGCAACCTTTCTTTTCCCCTTTAAAAGCAAACACCGCTGAGCTTTAAAAATAAACTCCATTTTAAATGGAGACTGAAAGTCTCCGTGCCAGCGAGTTCAGAACCTGACCAGTTTTACACGCTCTGCTTTCCCCAGTCAGAATGAACCCAAGGGCACGAGCAGTGCTGTCCAGCTCTCCCAAATTGTCCCACTTGGCAGGGATCTCACAGTGTGAGCTCTCCCAAAAGGAGCAGATGCCATGGGGCCCTGCTGGCCTTGGCACCACCCCTGCTCAGGGGAATTTGGGATAAATGGCAAACACCAGTGTGCCCTGTGTCACCCCTTGGCAAGCAGGGTGCCCGGGCAATTGGGTGCCTGCTGTCCAAAAGGCACAGGGGAGTAAGTTCAGCTTCCATATCCTCATCCTACATTCCAGCACAACAGGAAACACATGCACAGCTACTGAGAGTGTCAGCTTAATTCACAGCACTTCCAAGGGAAAAACCCCCGAGGGAATTAGGTGGGAAAAACATGAAAGCTGCAAATTCAGGATCTTGTCACAGGATCCCTGCAGTGATTCATTACCCCTGGTGGCCGGGAGAAGTGACAAATGCTCCAGGCTGCACAAAGTGCCTGGCAAGGGACGAGAGCCTGGGAGCCAGAGACACCCCAGGAGCAAGCTGGGGTGTCCGACACATCCAGAGCAGCTGGGGCTGCCCCTGGGGGTGTGCCAGGCCAGCCTGGACAGGGCTGGGAGCAGCCTGGGGCAGTGGGAGCTGTCCCACCATGGCAGGAAGTGGGACAACCCAACCCAAACCGTTAGGGATGGGATTTGTGGGTCCCACACCATGAACCCACCAACACTCAGGCTGCTGGGATAAAGGGTCCATGCTCGGGGCCATCCCCACCAATCCCTGCCCAGAGTGAGATCCATGGCCTGAGCCCTTTGGGGATGCCAGTGCTGTGTCAGAGCCTGGCACAGAGATCAGGGGGCAGCCAGGACCCAAACCAGCAGGGAGCACAGGGGCTGTGGGGACACAGCAGAGCCTGAGCCCTGCCCTGGCTGCCCCTGTCACCAGCCAGGGTCTGTGCACAAATCCCAAACAGGACAGGGCTGCTGGGAACTGCTTGGAGCTGTTGGATTTTCCAGCATCAGCCTCATTCCATGGGTATGGCAATGGGAAGATGCCACCAGCTCACATCCCAGGCAGCAGACACAGAACTCAATGTCACAACTCACTTTATAAGGTTTTTGCCCAATCCCACAAAGCAAAAGCCCAGTGACAGTATTTATATCTGTGTAGTATATATTCTGTATTGACAGTAGTTCTATCCAAGCACTATAAGCACAGGTACCTTTGGTTAAACAATGCTTGCTTACTTCAAACACAACACCTGCTTGTAAGCCTTAAAACACAATGCACACAGCTCCATTATTAAGCTTAGAACTTCCTAATATCACACTAGATAAACTTTTCTGTAGCTTAGAGAGTTATTCTAGACAAGCATTAATACACAGACCATTGTTCCATTTGTCCTTGCTTTTCTACTTTTTAAATAATTTTACTGCTTAGCTCTACTCACAGTTCTGCTCTCTCTGAGGCCTGCCTGTTGTAGCTTTCCCAAAACCCTCTGATTTTGTAGATTCCCACAGCTCCCGCCAGCCCTGAGCTGTGCCCTGGCCGGCAGAGCCCCAGGCTCTCTGCAGACACCCAGCAGCTCAGGTTTGGGATCCCAGGGGCAGCCCCGGTTTGGGGGTCCCAGGGGCAGCCCCGGTTTGGGGGTCCCAGGGGCAGCTCGGGTTTGGGGGTCCCAGGGGCAGCCCCGGTTTGGGGGTCCCAGGGGCAGCCCCGGTTTGGGGGTCCCAGGGCTAACAGTCAGTGCAGTGCTGCTCCAGTATCCATGGATACCCACAGCTGGCTGCTGTTTGGGCTCTGGCTGCTGTTTGGGCTCTGTACAACACTCACCACATTATTCTGCTGCCCTGAATGCTGCACGAGCTGTTTTCCTTATCGCCACTTAATTGGATTATCAGGTAGCAAAAGAGACAATTGAGCACTTTTTCAGCTGATTTATCTGCAGAGATCCCCTTTTGGGGGGAATCGCTTTTGGCAGCGCTGAAAACATCACGTCACAAAGCTATGTTGGTGCTGATGATTATTAAAAGGAACTCTCAATTAATTTGATTAATTTGTTCCTTTAAAATTAGCAGCTGCCAGGAGCTGCCTCCGGGGTGTTTATCAGAGCTCTGGGAACAACAGGAAAGCCCCTGGCACAGCTCCTCACTGCAACCAGCACAGGAACCAGCCCAAAATGGAGATTTTATACCCCCCAAAATGGAGATTTTAACCCCCAAAATGGAGATTTTATACCCCCCAAAATGGAGATTTAAAAACCATGCTGTGTTGGGAGGGATGAGAAGAGCTCAGGTTAAGTACAGATGGTACTAAGACTCTGTGAAGTAAATAAAAATTAAAACAATGAAAACGAAAAGTCTCCAAGTGCAGGAGAGCTCTGATCCCTCACAGACCCTGCCAGGTGGCCCCAGGATGCTCCAACAGGCAGGACACCCCCATACAAGGGGAAATAAATCAGTCAAACACTTTAACTGGAGTTTGGGGGAGCCAAAGGAGGGGAATTCACTGGGAAAACTGAAATAAACCCCAAAGGCACACAGGAGGCTTTTCCCATTTCATTGTACATTTTCTGTCCCACTGCTGGTTCTGGCATTTCCTGCCATTCCCTGCATATCCAATTTATGAGCTGCAGTGGATTTGACTTGTAAACCTCCTGGATTCTGCAGGTGAGAAACCAGTGACAGTAACGCTGAAAACAGAGTTTAAAGAAGTCAGGATCCTCCCCTTGGGAAAACATGGGCAGCACAACTGAGGAGAGCTCCCTGACAAAGCAGAATCACATCCCAAAGAGCCAGAACGACAAAATATCATTTCACAGTCCTGAGATGCAGCTGGGGCTGCCCCAAACTCCTCAGCAGGGATGGGGTTGTTCAAACACCTGACACAAACCCACCCAACCCTCCAAAGGCAAAGGATGGAAATCCTGACACACTGAGCAGCATCCACAGCATGGCAAACCCACCAAAGCCTCCAGAGCCAAGGATGGAAATCCTGACACACTGAGCAGCGTGGTGAGTTTGCCATTTACAGCACCCCAAAGCAATCCCAGTCTGTGGGAATGAGCTGAGGGACAGAAAAGCTCCTGCCACTCCAGAAATGGCAATAAATTGATTTTATAAATTGATTTTATAGATTGATGCCCCGCGGTGAAAGCAGAGCATGGCAGGCTCAGAGGGAGCTGGGAGGGGCTGGTTCATTCTGCTGCCCCCCAAACCCAGAGCTCTGGGAAATGGAACAGCCTGGGCATGGAGCACCACCCTGCCGGGGAAATAATGCATGGAGAGGCCAAATCAGCTCACAACGTGCAGGAGCCTCAAGGAACAGGAGCTCCAAGTTAAAACAGGGCTGGCAGAGAGATCAGAAACGGCAGCTCTGTCCTAAACCAGAGTCGTGATGAGCTCTGCATTGGCTGCTTGCTCCTTCCTAGAACCATGAATTCCTGC